TGGGTGCGGTTTCTGGTTTCCCCTTCTTCTTACATTGATTGTTACGTTGAAGTTTGTGATTTAGGTCATCAGCAACCTCTTCTTCTTCTTCATCTACTGCTGCTGTTCCTGTGCCCTTTTCCTTCAATGTACCCTGTTTGGACCGTTTTTGATCTTCTGGTTGATTACTGTTATTCATCCAATTGAATTATCCTTTCTATCACTCCAGAGAACAATCAATCTATCATCGTCATCGGTCGTGCCAAAGACCTTGGGCCCTGTGTGGCCAAAATACTTGACACTGGTAACCCATGCGGCAATTGGTGTGATCTTCGAAATTGCGGCTCAAACGGTGTCAGCCTGAGTGATGCCAAGAGCTGAAACTCTTCTAGCTACACTAGGTGCAAGGATGTATTCAGAGGTGTACACGTGTGAGTGACACGTGAAAAGTGGGTAGAAGTGTGGTAATAAAAGAAAAGTAAATAAAAACTGTTAAGTTTTTTATTTACAGAGGGGCCTGAGTTACAGGGGTTTTTAAGGTGCCCTCTAATATCAGGTCCTGGGTTACAGGGGTGGTACTGATGTTCTGGTCCTTTGTAATAAAGGAGTATGCCCAGAAATAGCCTACAACTGAAGAAACAAAGAAATAATACTTACTAGTACTTATCTCTAAGCCAAGGAAGTCTTCAGGAGGGGGGAACTGTTCTTGAAGCGCTCAGAAAGGTGGGTGAGAGAGGTTGGAAGAGTGCTGGGGAACAGGTGTTGGTTGGTTGATGGAAATTCAGGTTGATAACAGCAGGAACTGGGCCAAAAGGCAGGTTGAAACTGGTTGTTGGTGACGGTTTATGCTGGTAAGTAATGATGAAGATGGGGAAACAAAGTTCAGGGGGAAGAAGGGGCTCTTAAGTACCCATTCTGGGCCTCTGGAGGCGAACTCAGGAGTCTCTCTAGTTGCTACAACTCTCCTACTAAGCCTATGGGAGCTTTTGATCATCTGTAGCACCTGTAGAGCTTGGTTACAGGTGCCAAGGAGATGATGTAATGCTTGTAACCATGTTTACAGGGTGTTCTGACGAAACTGTAACACTCCTGCAGCCTATGTAAGCACTGCATGATGCATGGGTTGATCTTCAAGAGAGTAATTGTCCCAATTGGGCCAAAAAGGGCCACAGATCATCCCAAACAGTTTAATACTGTAGTCTGTGCTCATGTAGTTAAGGTTTCAATGATGTAAACCTTGTTTGTAGATTTTTCCCGAACTGCATGAACCTTAATTACACATGTAGCCCCCTTACAACATGTAGTATGATGTAACTGGAGGGGTCTACAGTGTATTTTGGTCAAATATCACTCAAGGACTACAAAGTAAGTGAAGGAGTGATAATTCAGGGGTACATTTGGTGAGCTACCCTAGGTTATTTTGCATGTAGATTCAGAATCTGCAATAATATTCTAAGTTATGCTTAAGGTTCAGAAGTTATTAGAAGATTCTGATTAAAAGTGTTATTTTTCATAGTTTATTTAATTATTTAAAGGTTTTTCTCATGAAATATATACAGTGTAAGTGTATTGTGTAATAATGTCTCTATTATAGTGTTTCAACTTATTTAAATAGAGTATTTTAATATTTTAATTGTATGTACATATGTAAGTAATAATATCTCTAAATAAGTAAATGCTATGTTCAGGCTGGCTCTGATTAGTAGCAGGCTGACAAACGGCTCTAATTCTTTGGAAATCTGTGATTTTCACCTCCAGAGACAAGCTTGGAAAGTCAGAGCCAGTAGGACTGAATTCTTCTCCGGGTCAGTCTTGAATGAATTGTTTTGTTTTTGTTTGTTGAAAAGAAGGGAAGAAGAGAGAAAATGAACTGATTACTCTTCTTGTGATATACCTCTTAGCACGTCTGGAATGGTCCAACAGACTGGCAAAAGTTTTGTTCAAAGTTACAATCGTAAGGGCAAGAAAACAGACCAGTGTGATCCGAGTACCAAGGCGGGTTTACTACCACCAACCCAGTCAAAGCGTACTTCAATCAACGGACAGATCACATACATCTGTGGTGGGAATCAGAGCTCGTTGAACAACATTATTTGGAACTTGAGAATGAAGAGCTTCGAGGAACGCTATCGTCAACCGACAGATTTCGAGAAGGTTGAGAGGATGAAATTGAAAATGAAACGTGAATTAGAAGAAATTCAAATGAACAAGATTTTGACAGATCAGAAAGAGAAAAACAATAATTACAGTATGAGAATCCTTCCGACGAGTTGGTATAAAAACCAGCTCGCCGGAAGGGGGTTCCTTGCAACGAGCTGGTATAAAACCAGCTCGCCGGGAGGAACCCCTCCCGACCAGCTGGTATAAAACCAGCTCGCCGGGAGGAACCCCTCCCGACCAGCTGGCGTGTACATACACTTGCCGGGAGGGGTTCCTCCCGGCGGTGTGACCTCCGCCTGTCCAGGCCGAGGGGGTTTGAAAACAAAAAAAAACAAAGGGGCCGTCCCATAGGACCCATGCCTGGGTCCTATGGGACAGCCTGTCAGCCTCTGGGTAACTAACCTGAGTGTTTATTAGTGAAAGGTTGTTACTATGAGTTGACTGAAGTGTTAGGTAGTGGGTGATTAATACCAGTCCTGTAAAGAGGAGGTTTCACTCTATCAGTATGGTCTTTACTGAGAGGCTTGCTATCAACAGCGCATCTGGATCAATACAAGGTATTAATAGGCATCCAGGGTACTAAGACTCACCTGGGATTGATTTGGGTATTCCCAAAAGGGAATGGGCTAAAAATACTTATTAAGCTTTAACAAAATTAGTTGAAGATTAACAGGTATTGTTGATGGGAATATTCAGCAAGGCTGTGAATATTGTAGATAAGTTGATTTGTTGACTGAAGCTTAAGAACAATAATAATAGACTAGATTTATGTTGGTTACGTGTAAAGGTATCAATATAAATGTTAACTGTTTTAACTGGTGTCTGAATATTCTGGGGATTAATCAGTGGAAGTGGCACGGATTATAAGTTCCAGAATATTACATGGGGAAATGGAGAAGTACTCTGAATCACGGGTGAAATTACCATGAGGGAGAGCAGTGTTAATTGAGTAACTGATCTTTATTTGTAATGATCTGTTATATCTGTCATAGTATTTACTAGATGATTATAAATGAAAATTTTGGAAAAACTGGTTTTCAGATGGCTTGAAACAGCTGTTGAGTGGGGCATTCCCCAGCCCACATTGCAGCAAAGCACTAAAATTTACTGTTTTGGCTCCAATCTGGACCACCAACCTGGCCAAACCTTTATTGGTTCCAATTTTTTTCATTTATAATCATTCTTGCCATGTTCCATTCTTTCTTTCTCTCAGCACTCCCACTCCCCCAAAATGAATATCAAAGCTTTTGAAAAAAATTGAGTTTTTTTTTATTTTTCACAAGTTTTTGAACTTTATTTTTTGCTTTTATTATTTCATATTCATTTTTTGGGAGCTATTATGCACCACTTGACCAAGTCTCATGACTTCAAGTTTGTGTTTCAGAGCTCTGGAATCCAAAATAAGCAGTCACTTTTCACTGTCTACCCACTGTACAGCTAACAGATCCTTACAAATGAAATGACAAATAATTCACTACAATCAATACCCATTTTGCCCCAACAATAAATGGCAATTTGGGTGGGGGAAAATGGATCAATTTTCTGGCACTTTTTTCCAAAATGCCTCAGGAGTAGAAATTAGGCTGAACTGAGCTATTTTAGCCCAGAGATAGAAATTCATCATACATTCCAAAATGAATTTTTAGCTCATTTGAGACATTTTTATTTTTTGGCTAAAATAGCTCATTTTAGCCCAATTTTTTACTCCTGAGACATCTTGTAAAAAAATTGCCAGAAAATTGATCTATTTTCCACCATCCAAATTGCTGTTTTTCCTTGGGGCGAAATCAGTATTGTTTGTAGTGTAAGGATCCGTGCATGTATTGATTGTATTACTTCAATTGTTACACAATGATATGCGAACAATACATGTACATTTTATTTGTAATGATTCTTGTCCGTGATGACTTGAAGGACAAGGATAATTAATGATGAAGTCATTATTAAGATCACACAATAAATAATGAGGTCATTATTAATATTTAGTACAAGTATTGATTGTATTTATTCAATGATTAATTGATACTCAACATTCAAGGTATGTACATATTTCTTTATACAGGTATTTGATCGTGAAAATACTGTAGAAAAGGGGTAACTTGTGGTACAGGTATTTCACGGATAAATGAGTGAAAGGCAAGTGATAATTACTTAAGTATGGAATCTGTATGTATTTAATAGATAAGTAATTAATAAGATAAGATAAGTGAAATAAGATAAGTTAAAGATAATGATAAGATAACAGGAGGTAAATGTAAACAACATTATGGATAAGTACTTATGTACATAAGTACAGGTGTTGCAGTTACTTGGTACATGAAAGGTACTGTGACATGTACTCTGTGGCTGACACAGCCCATGGGCGTGCAGGCAGGCACGCCAACCTGCAGGGTATACCCCCTGCAGGCAAGTGGCTTGCCTGCCTGCACACCATTCTGCAATGGCGTGCAGGCGCGCACGCCATTCTGCAATGGCGTGCAGGCGCGCACGCCAATCTGCCCCTGGCGTGCAGATTGGCGTGCGCGAGGGGGGTTGGCTTGCACTTATCAACCCCTGTTTTGCTTACATGAAGGGAGAACTTTATTCTCCCTTCACCCAACATGTTTTCCCTCCTGGCCGGGAGGGGTACATTTGATGTTGCCATGCAATTTTTGCAGGAAGACCCTTGGGAGCAACTTCACAAGATCCGAAAACTGGTGCACAAAATACCCTTGCAAGCATCAATTACACCAAGACTGCACCACCTCAATGGCCAAGAGGAATCCCTCTCGGCCACTGAGACTGTGCAGTCTCAACAGCCAAGAGGAATCCCTCTTGACCAACGAGACTGGTCCTGATGGCCAGGAGAAATTCCTCCTGGCCATTGAGACTGTACCCCTCCCGGCCGGGAGGGAACACATCACCAGGAAAAATATTTGGTCACCCATACATGGGTGCCTTCATGTATCTACATTATATCTCTACTGGAAAATTGAAACTAATCATGATTTATTCTGTCTTTTCCCCCTCTCCATCTGTGTTCCACCATTGCCATCAATCTGCCCTAAAACCTTCATATGCTGGCTTCATGTATTCTTTTGCTATCCTCTGAATAATCCATGTATACCAAGGGAATCCTTCGATGCAATAGAAATTAAAAATATATAATGATTTTTTAGAAGTAAAATATGATGTGATTTAAATTCAAGTCTGATAAAATTTCCAATATTATTTTGTGGAGTCCTGATTCTTGATTGAATATAATTATGACCACAGTGGAGAAGGCTGTCAATTTTGTTTGCGAGCCATATTCCTTTTTGGAGATCTTTTACTTTTCACATTTATTTACCATGTAATGAATGAATAGATTTTAATTTATGAGAACTTTACCTTTCCCAGAAGTTAGTAAACAGTGATATTCAAAACACAAAATTTATGTATCCTTGAAACAATTTTTCTTTCCAATGCACTATCAGCACTATGAATGCAATAAAAATATAAAATGGATTTTTAGTAACTCCCATCTGGAAATTTGAGTTCATTCAAATTGAAGCTTTTATTATCACACAGCTATTGTGCAGGATGAATTTTTTTTCAATGAACAGTTGTTCATAATTATCAATTATTTATATATGATTTCAATTGTAGAATTAAAATAGCTTCATCATCATCTTGGAATAATACAAATTTAGTTATTTTTATTTTTTCTGAAAAAATACATGTATGTCCACTGAGTGGGTCTATAAAATGGGGGAGAATAAATGTCAAATCAGGGGAATCAATATCATCATTGAATAGTTTTATTTGACCAACAAGAATGAGTTTAGTTCTGATACTCAAATATTCATGGAAAGGAGTAATTGGTTCAAATAGATTCATTTCCACCCCCAGATGCTCAATGAATGAATTTGAGCTAACTAAATTCTCTCCTAGAAGCCAACACAATAAAAATTGGGCTGATCTTGATTGGTATTAGTTTCCTTATTGTAACTGATAGAAGTGCCAGACCATGTCAAAGTATTATAATTGTGATTTCTTAAATCATAGATCTTATGAATGTTTAATTAAGAGCTAGGTGATCTTGATGAAATTTCAACTATCACCTTGCTAAGCCAGGACCCATTTTTGTGTCAACACAAGTAGAAAGTGATACAACTGAGATCTGTCATGTACGCAAGTGATTGATTATTATGGATGGGAATATCATAATATTTGGATTTTTACTTCATGACATGCTCTTCTTTTTGAATTATGGATAGTAGATGGACAACTTGGTTAAATTTGAGTGCATTGTTTTTTTGGTTCAATAATGTAATAATACAACACATTTTCATTTGATATTCAATTTAAACCAAGCCCTCAGAGTGGTTTTTCATTTATGGTAATCTTTTTAATTATAATCTTTTTGGATACTGGGATGACCAAGCCAAAAACATCTAAAAAAAATAATTCCATCAGAAGAAGATTTCAGTTTTTGAATGTAGGTTGATGATTGAGGTGGAAATTTCAATAATTAGTATATGAGAAAACATTCAGGAATACAGACACCATCCACTTGCAGTATAGGAAGTTTGGTTTTCATACATCAAGTCATGATAATTGACTTCAATGTGTGGAATTCATTTTTTTCTTAACTTAACTAATTTTTGATTTTGACTCCCACATTCCACCCTCTTTCTTTTCAATAATTAATCATTTTTAAGTAGTTTGATAATATATAAAGGAGATATCAACTTGATTGATTCAAATCAATTTGTCTCCCAGTGGCAGAGAGACGACACAAATGAATAATTTTACTCTATGTTTAGCATTTTGGAACAATTCAACTCACACAATGAAGAAAGAAAGTGAAATTCTTATACCACTTTACAAAAGAATTTGATACATACATGGATTCACCAAATGATGGAGCAAGCAGAAGAACACACCCCTGGGTACTCTTCATACTTCCTCAGTGAACATCAGACTCAACTTTACATGATCATTGATTGTGTATTTCACCATTCATTGAGCTAGCTCCTGATATCAATTAGGGTCTTCCATTTAATTTTTGTACTTGGTAAAAGTTGATATCAGCGTGCAGCAGACCAGACACAAGAAACAAAGTTTTTGGATCAAACTCAAAATATTGAATGTTGAAGTTCTGGATATACAATTGGTTCAGAAAAAGTGACATGGCACTCCAAACAAATGGGTTTGGATGTGTTTTATTGATAGGTAATATATGAGGGGTGTTAGTGTGGCCAAATATGTGTGTGGAGTTTAAAATAACCCCAGCGCCTGAGACCAGATGTGGAATGGAACCCACCAGATATCAGGACGTTTTCCCCCACTGAGATGCATCAGAAACATTTCAATCGAATAGCTGTTGATACTTACTTCTTATCCCAGTTTCATAACACAAAACTCATCATCACAGACTTTATTGGTTGATCGATCAAACCCACTAAATTCCCAGTAAAAATGACCACCATATTATGCTTAGGTTTTTTTACAACACCAGTTATTTACAAAGGTCTCATGAATTCATCAGCTCAAGTTCTACGAGATGCTGTTTTTCATCGTGGAAGACATAACATCCATGTACTCTGCTCAAACTATGAAAACGTTGGCGATCTATCTGAACGACAAAGCGGATTTCTTGGTCCATTGATTGGTGACGTTGGCAGTGTTTCTGAACCACTCACCAAAAAGTTGATTGAACAAAACCAAAAGAAACTATATCTCCGATTATTCTATCTGAACATACCGACAGAAAATACCTCCTTTGTTCATGGCTTTGTTTTTTCTCCATCTCAGTGTGTTTCAACTGTGAGGCAAGCTTTTCACTCAGCAAATCTTGCCCTGAAGCATATACCCAACTACCAGTCCAACCATTTTTTCGGCGTTCCACAATGTGAAGACTCTTCAAATCACATCTCCGTGGACAATTGTCGTCAAGTCCCAGGCTGCAAGACAAAACTCATGGATCATCAACTGCAAGCAGTCAGCTTCATCCGAAGGAGTGAATCCAAACTTGTCTCGATACCGCATGAAATATGGAATCACCCAAACAATCGGTGGGCCAAACGAGTTTATGAGGACGCTGTGAGGACCGGCAATCTTGATGATACGATTGACTTCGGGGGTAAAGGATGTATCCTGGCGGATGATATGGGTCTAGGAAAAACTCTAACAACTTTATCAGCTATCCAACTCTCAGCCACGGAGGCACTCAAATTCTCAGAACAACGACCTGATGAGCAAAGTACAATGCGAAGCTCAGCAACCTTGATAATCTGTCCACTTTCGACACTCGAGAACTGGAAAAACGAAATCAACATCCACTTTGGAAATAATCTTCCTTTCATAGTCTATTATGGTAAAGAAAAAAGCGGAATAGAATTCAAGAATATTTCTCAAGTGGCAGTTGTACTGGCAACATACGAGTCTGTTACGATTGCAAGCAGGGGAGGAAATAGCCAAGAGTTGCAGGGAAGGAGCAAGGATATAAAGGGTAGAGGGATGGGTTTGGATTTGTCCAATATTGAATGGTTTTGTATTGTACTTGATGAAGCACAGTAAGTCCCATAAAAGTACTGAAAATATCATACAAGTCCAATGATTCTAAAGCCTGAATGAAGTTACATGAAGGACCCAAAGACAAACCGAAGTATTACGCTCCTTGGATTAAAATCACAACAACGACTGTGCCTCACCAGAACACCATTGCAAAACCAGCTTGGAGATCTGCACAATCTGATCAAGTTTCTTCGAATTGAACCTTGGACAAACAATTCGATTTGGAAGCAATGTGTCGAGATCCCAGTTCAGAGGTGCGAACCACGAGGGCTTTCAACTTTGCAAAATTTAATGAGCGGTGTCAGTATGAGGCGATTAAGCACAACTATCTTGGCCCTTCCCAAAAAAGTCGAAACAATTGTCAACCTGAAGCTCCATTCACCATGGAATGAGATATATGAAAGAAATCATCAGGTGTTTTCTGAACAGTTTGGGAAGAATTGGGCAATAGGACAAGGGTGGAACTCGGGTGAATTCTTTGGAGAGCTCGTGGACTTACGACAGCTATGCAATCACCCCGCACTGATTGACAAGCAGCTGGGAAGGAAAAAATACTTTTGGAACAAAAGCTCAAAGATTGGCCATTTGGTGGACGATCTACTAGCGTTTCTGAGAAGTGGACTTGAACACCACGCAGTAATCTTTTCAGAGTTCAAGAGATTTCTGGAAATGTAAGTATTTGAATTCATTTTGAGGCAAGATCCTTATATTTTTAATGAAACTTTTGCAATGGCGTTGAATGAGAAGGGAATTTTGTTCACCACTCATTATGGAAAAACCGATCAAGATAGTAGAAGTAGGAATTTGGAGCGGTTCCGGGGGGATAAACACTGTAGGACACTCTTGGCAACAATAAAGACAGCTGGAGTAGGGATTGATCTGAGATGCGCCCAAAAGGTTTACATAATGGTAAGTCAATTAGACCAGTATCAAATTGTAGTACGGAAAAACTGAGTAAGACAATATGTTAAAACAACCAGGAGCCAACTTGGAATCCAGTGGTGGAGGAACAGGCGATTGATAGACTTTATCGTATTGGAAAAAAGGAGAAAGTACAAGTTGTTAAATATTGTGTAGCCAACAGTATTGAGGCAAATATTTTTCAGATAAAGAGGAAGAAAGCAGAGCTGGCCATGTGAGTAATTTTCTGATACCTGGAGAGGAGCTTCGTGATAAGAAATTGACTGGCTGGATGGAATCAGGTTGAGTGTCCCATTATGTGGAAACCTGGAATTTGAAATGTTTAGGCGGTTAATGATGGAGAGTCTAAATGTAAATTAATTTTAAAGGATATGCCTTACTCATTTCATGATGTGGATATCATTCTTATGATAGCATCAAGATTTATTTCCTTCTTGATTTGCAAAAGATTTATGTCGGTTTCATTGAGGGATGCGAGGAAATTTGGATGGTAGCAATTTCTGGGGAGTGAGGAGGGCACATTTGTTGTTACCTCCTGCCGACTGGCACCCTGGCGCAGGAGCCAAATTGAGACACTGTGCTTATGGTATCTTTGACCTAATTTTTCAGCCTTATTTTGTTCGAAAAGCTTTTCCAGTTGGTGAGCAAGTTCTGTGAATAGTGGGGATCGCCAAGAGCACTGAACCCTCTGGAAGGTTCCGTCGGTGAGTTGATCGGTATCTGAGCAGCAAGTGGGTTCATTAAATAGGTCTTGTTCCTCTGGCTGGAGATCCAATAAGCTGAGGATCTGGGTGTGATTTTCCGAAATCTGAAAAGCAATCATGGTTCATTAATGGAAGGAAATCAAAAATCTCAAGAATAATTTAATCACCTGCTTGCGCCATTTGGACTTTTTCACCTGGTAGGATTTTGTCTTGATGGCATTGGGCAAGTATTTTTTGCGCTTGATATCCAGGCTTTTCCCCATAAACCATCTCTTCATTACAGCCTTAAAATTTTGAGGGGTGTTGTGGGAAGAATTCATTGGGAAATTTTCAAAAGCGCCATGTTTCTGTGCATGAGTCCAGTGTTTCAGGAGAAACACGGAAAACAGTGGATTCCAGTGAGCCTCCCAAGGTTCTTTCCAGGAGAAATTGATGTGGGGGAAATTGGTTGCCTTCAAATCTTTCAGGAACAGATCTTGACACTTTGTTGAGATGCCATTTAAGGTATCTGGCTTGACTGGTGAGAGGTTTGCTTTGGATTGGATAGGGTGGCTAGTCACGGTGAGAGGAAGGTTTTTGACAAATTGAATCTGGTCTGGTGAAGGAGGAATTTGCCAGTGTGGTTGTTCGAGTGATTCAATGTTTAGGACCAATCGGCAGAAGGAGGCAATGGATCGGGAAAAATGTGTGTTTGAATTTGGAATGATGGGGGAGAGGGCCTTGTTAAGATTTTGACGATCGATAGGTGCTTTTCCATTCCTTAGGTATTTGACCATGTCGGATAATGATTTTTGGCCACGAGAATGTCTTTGTTGTTGAATTAGTACTGACGGGGCAAAATTGAAACATCTGAGTTAGTGTACATAGATAGAAATTAGCAGGCTGATGATGATGCGCCTTCAATATAGTTTATGGAGTTATAAATATTTCATAACAGGAGAAGTACATCTCCCATACCTCCATGTCAAAGGTTTAATCATGAAGCCTGAAATTGAGTGGATTTTTTCATCAGAATGGTTTTTTAACATCCTTGTATTTGAATAAATATAAGCCCTTCTATGGGTATGGCAGAATCACCAAAAAACAAGCTTGGGCAGAAAGTTTATGTATGAGGGTTCGTTGAGTCACAAGACCGCCGGTCTTATGACAATTTCTGGTGTTAGCGAACAATACATGCGATTCACAGGGATGTCACAGGCTTCATATGGTCCGCTAAGACCGGCGGTCTTAGTTCATCAAGCTTTGGCATCCTGAACTAAATTGGCAATCTCTTCAATCAAAATACAGATGTTTCATCATTTTGAGAAGGAACTTGAATCAAAAACCCAACCAGAATCGTTTCAAAGCTTACTCTTGTATCACCAACTTTCCAATGGCGACTCGATGGCAGATATGCCAATGTCCTGACTTTGGATGTGATCAGCAAACCTATCGGGATACAACAACAGGGGAAGATCGAAGAGGGAAAGCGTGGTCAGCTCCATCATTCAAGAAGCATTTAAAGAACATTACAAAAAAGCAATTGAAGGATCGAAAGGAACAGGATGACGATACAGTGACGCAGGTTGCTATGGAACAGAATGAAGTAAGTTTTTATTTTATTTTTATTTTCTTTTTTTTTTTGGGGGGGGGGGCTGAGTTGTTGGCTAAAGTAATCTGAATACAATCACAGACCAGGTTGGAAACAAATGTTGAAAATCAAAATCGTGGATTGAAGGAAAAAGAAAAGGCACAAAGCGAAGGATACATAATTGTGGAAACTCGATCATCAAAAGGGAACGCCTTTAAACTAGTACCTCGACACAGCTTGATCACCTTGCTTCAAGCAGCTAAACTCTCATTAATATATCGAGTAAGCAACAAGAAGATAACTGAATTCCTGAAGAAAGAATGCCAAAAAGTGGACAAACTCTCCAAAGAATATAGTTTTGATGGATCCAAAATCATCAAAAACATACCTCTGTCAAAAGCAACGGTAATCCAAAAGCTTGGATTGGAAACCAAGTTGTGCCAAAAAATCTGTTGTCCTGAATGCTTCAAGCTATATCCAATCCCAGAGGAATCTGAAGACAAACATGGATTGGTTTCTCAAATACAGTCAAAACTGTCTAACGGCATACCTTTCTGTGTGCATAACCTGTATAAGGGAATAGTGAAGGGCTTCTCCCAAAACTTGATTTTGCTTCAAATTCCCTCTCTCTAAGGGCATAACCTGTTTACAGGCATACATAAATCCTTCTCCCAAGGGGTATGCCCTTAGACAGGTTTGACTGTAGCAAGCACATGCACAGCAGTGTTTTACTCCAAATCAAAACGGCACTTGAAAAAAATTGGAAACAAAGTCAAATTGTGCGAAGCCAAACTAGTGGATCTGGACAAGTCAGGTGATAAACCCATAATGAAGCCCATCAAGAGTTTCAGCTATCAATTATTGAAGAACTGGCTAGCGAGGAAGCTCTGGCTTCCTGCCTTTGAGACCCTATTGGATTCAAATCTGGAAAATCACAACTCTGCTAATGGGACGCTGAGCGATGTCTGGGACGGAAGCATATGGAAAAATTTCGTCGGACCTGAAAATTCTCAAGAAATATTCACTTCAAAATCTGGACACCTAGTATTCAGTCTCTATGTTGATTGGTTTAATCCATACGGAAACAAGGCAGGTGGAAAGTTGGTTTCTTTGGGGTCGATAGTACTTGTCTGCCTCAACTTACCTCTAGCCGAACGATACATGATTGAGAATATATGCTTATTTGGAGTGATTCCAGGACCCAAGGAGCCACATTTGGACCAAATGAATAATATATTGCAGCCACTAGTATCCGAGTTGATGGAATTCTGGAAAGGGGTATGGTTTACTAGGACTAGTCGGTTTCCAGAAGGAAGATTAATTTTTGCGGCTATTTTCCCCTTGATTGGGGATCTCCCAGCCATTTGCTAGACTGCTGGATTTGCGTCCCATTCAGCCACCAATTTCTGCTCCCTATGTGAAATAACACTTCAAGATATAAACGCAATAGATCCTCAAAAATTCACCCCGAAAACACATGAAGAACACATGGAAAGAGTGAAGCGATGGGAAGCAAGCACCTCATTTCACGATTGGGAAGACATAGGAAAGAAAGAAGGTGCACGAGGAAGTGTTCTCAATCAACTACCCTACTGGCAACCCGTGGATCATTGCGGAATTGAGGTTATGTGCGCTCACCTCTTAGGCAACCTCAAAGACCATAGTTCCACATTTCTGTCTGTATCAGAAGCTGGGAAGGATTTAAAAAAGCTTGTAGAATTGGAAACTAAATGGAAGAAGAAGCATAGTGGAAAACACATATTCCGTGGTCTGAAGTTTCCTGAAGTCAAACGCAAGAGGACACCTGAAGAGGACTCAAGTGGTACGGAGGAGGAAGATGCGGGTGGAGGAAAGAGACGGTTACTGAGTTCAAAAAATCTATCTTGGTTGTCAAGAATTGAAGAAGATATAGGTCCTTCAACACTCAAATCAAGCTTACAGGTCCCTACATTGAGACGAGGTTCGAGGAGCGCATCCAGGTCTGCAACCACATCTGATATTTCACAAGACACGGCAAGTTCGAACTCTACAGTCCATCGGTACTAACTACGCCCACGCAGCGCACGCACTGAATCCTCACTTGGCAGTGGCTCAGAAGTTGAAGCAGATCGGAGGGAGATAAAAGAAAGGGAAAAAGACTACAGAACTGAAATGGAAGAGGAAAAGATTGGAGATACAGGAGGGAATCCTACCAACAAGCCGCGGTTAACCAAGGAAGAGTTACGAGTTCTACAAGATGTGATTTCTCAGACCACGGTCCCAAATTGGATTTCGAGAGTTCCGCAAAATTTTGGATCTGCAGGTGCAGGGTCTCTCAAAGCAGCTGACTGGTTGATACTATATACAGTATACTATCCTCTGGCCATTGTTCCATTTTGGGTCATTGGAGATGGGGGGCACAAGCAAAAGATTGAAAATTCTATGTCGGTGACGCACCAGGATGTTCTGAGGGATTCCCTAATTAAGCTAATTGAAATCACAAAAATTCTGATGAAACATCACCTCAATTCTACGGATATTGCCAATTTCGCCAAACTCATCAAGGAATACCGGAATACCCTACGAATTGGATGGCCTACACAAGAAAGCAAGGCCAACCTCCACTTAACCCAGCACTATCCCCAAATCATCAAGGGACTTGGCCCACCAATGGCCACTTCTGCGTGGGCACAGGAGCGGATTAATGGAATACTGGGAAAGATTCCAAACAACCACCATATGGGTATGTAGGATATCTCAATTTGCATAAATGGGGACTAGCTAGCATTGACTTTGTGAATGCTTTTTTGTGTTTTAAGGGGAGATCCACCACACATTATTAAACACATGGAACCAAATAGCAGCGTACTATGGCCTGGAGAATCAGAATAATTTTGGCTCTGAGGCAAATGTGGGAGAAGAAGGGCCAACAAATTATGTGAAGCGCACGATGACTCAGAAGCAACAAAGGAAGAACTTGGATTCAAAGCTCTATAGTCTATGGAAAGCTCAGTGGGAGGAATTCGGTGTTAAAGGTGGCGAAGATGGATCTTTAGGGAAGGAGGTGGTCAAGGTAAAGAGTGTGGAAATGTTTAATCGTAAATATGTCCCATCAAAGGATGTGAACTGTAGATCACCTGCCAATTCAAATGTGGAGGTATTTTACTGTGGAGATAGAATTTTTGGAAGGATCAACTTGCTTTTTGTGGGAAAATCTGCAGAGGATGTTTGGTTTGTTGTTCGTCCATTTACCAGACTAAACCGTTGGGATCAACCAAAAAATCCATACAAAGATTTAATGCAGCTCAACACAAGATTACTCTACTCAAAAAAATTTGAACCAGCAATTGTGGTACATCAATCCAGGGTGGTGGGGCATATTGCCATTTTGGAAAATGAGGAAGGAACTTTTGGGATAAACAGGGGAACCATCTCAGCAGTGAGCCTTGGCAGTGTGGTATGTGTTTTTTTCCTTGCATGAACTATAAACCCATGGCATAATTTATCTGACAGAAATGCTTTGTTTTTGGAATGCAGGCATGGAGCCAAAATGTTGATATGGAAGAATAGATGTGTAATTAGAGTTCTGGGAACTGTGATTTATATCCAAACAAATTGTTATATGCTTTCCAATCAAATTTTTATCTAAACATGTTTCCACACAAAGGGGATGAAGTGGGGAATGCAGCTGCATCTTGTTTAGATGTATAAACAAATTTATACTGAGTGTTTTCTTTGGTCTGAATCAAGTCATTCATTTGGCATGAATAAATGAATTGAAATAATGAGAGAAGGGGGAAAAATGGTTTTAGCCATTTTATGACAACAAGAAAGCACCTCTTGTTGGTTCGAAATGTCTCCAGGTACCTCACTTCAACATCTCAAAAACCAATTACTCATCCCTCATCTATACTCACCCCTATCCCCAAGGTCATTTTGACCCTTTCTACCAAGATAAATTTGGTCAGTAACACTGGTATCAAGGAGTAATATGTGGATCCTTGCGCTTATGCAGCTCTTTTTGTTGTGCTCATTTTTTTGCAGGCTTCTTTCTCCAAAGAGTTTCTCCAAAGAGTTTCCAGTTAAAGATGGCCCCGTGGGACCCGGGTACCCGTTGATACCCGGGTACCGCCTACGTTTTTTGCCCAAAATCAGCACACCAGGTACCCCACCCGCGCCCTGTTGGCGCGCGTGAGGAGAATGATGATGAAGGTAAGATTTAATTTCTATTTCAAAAGTGTTGTGGATTTCCTTGCCAATGGGTTGTGGAATAGGTAAACTGATGATTGCCAAGGCAATTTTCACTCCTAGATTCTGATAGTGGACTGGAAGATCCGGAAAAGGCTCTGAAGCTACAGCAGGATCGTCAAAAAAGAAAGCGTGCTCAACAGAACTCACAAGGGACTATACGAAAGGTCCGACGGGCTGTTGTTGGAAAAAAGCTTCCCAGTCAGTCAGGTGGATTATCACGCACAATTTGAAACTTTGTCAGGTTCATGATGGGCATGCCTGCAACCATCAGTGAATACCCAGCCGCCCCCAATCGTTCCCAGTGGGATCTTTGGCACCACTGGGCTGAGACTCGTTACGACAAGATGGTGAAGCACTTGGCGAAATACACCAAGAAGCATAAGGAAGTCAGCAAATCAGTCTTTAAAGAAATGTACAAGGATGAAGTTACTCGCATCCGGAAGAATTTATCACCTCCCGCCTTTCAAGCGGCACCTGATGTGTTGAACAGCGATCTCAATATTCCCATCAATGTGAAGAAGGCATGTGAGCAAGAGGTTCGAATCACTGGTTTTGGACGTATAACTTTTGAATGGGAAGCACGATCCTTCACCGCTTCCCCCTGAAATGCAACTCTTGGATCAATCCTGATCAAACACTACTTCAATTGGGCAAAATCACAACCGGGGACGCTTTGGGACGATACGTCTTGTATGGAACTCATTTTGGATCGGTGGGTTAAAGGGCAAGGTAGATTGATGAGTCAAGCCGGCCGACAGGAGGGAAAATCCGCTGAGGAGCTGAAAGCTGAAAAGGCTAGAAAAGCATCAATAAGCTGGATCAAAAGTAAAGTAAGATAAGTTTCCTTCAATCATCCAAACCTTGCATTCAAGTACTCATAAAATTGCATTTTTGGAAGATTGCGGAAAAGAGACGTGCCGCTGCCATCAAGAAGATGGGGAAGCAACCCTCGTTAGCACTTTTTTTCAATAAGGAGACCGTGTCTGATTGGGAGGACCAGACACCACCAGCAAAACCCAAGCGAATCGACCTAGTTTGGAGGAGTGAAGCTTTCAAAAGGTGCTCTCACAAGCTTGATGAGATCAGCTTGACGATGACAAAAACCAAAAATGAATCCAAATCAACCCGCAAGCTCCTTCAACGAGACAGCGTTGAAGTCAAACCAGATGTTGAACCTGAATTTGATCAAATTCCTCGAAAGCTTCCCAAGGACGCTTACAATGCCAATTTCCTTTCAAACATCTCCCTGGTTGAACGAGAACACCTTGACCCCCAGCCCGGAATTGACTTGGAGGGGAAATACCAAATATTGGAAGAGATGACTAGACGTGGAGGACCTGGAGCGGCTCGGAGCGCTCGAGGAAGTATAGGAGACCTTGGGATGACATCCTTGCAAGGCCCAAGTACAGGCAGTTGAGTATGTTGTTTTCACCATAATCAAGAGCAGATGCATCAGAGTTCTTAGTGACAAACTGTTTCTATGTAGATCCTCGAAAATTTACACCAAAACCTTTGCACCTGAGTGCTTGGAATGAACTTAAAATTAACAAAAAGCCTGGAATCCCATGAAAGTTTAGCTTGGATATATATTCTGTACTTTTATCTCTATTCATGTTTCTCAGATTCACTACAAGAACATGTGTGCATCAAATCTTTTCTCCCTGAAAGGATTTCTATGTATTGCTGATCAGGATATCTTAACAATCCATTCAATCTGAAGGATAGGTTTCAAAATAAGCTATTTTTCTCAAGTCAATGTTTTTAAGAGACCCTGTTTCTTAACATGTTATAGTACACAAAACATTGACTAATGGGTCTGAGATAAAAAGGTGCCAGGCTCCAATAGACTTGCAATTTTCTGATCTATTCTGTCTAGGTCAAACATGGGTCCAAATGTTTGTAGGATCAACACACCCTGATCAATCAGAACGTGTGTGAGACAATTTAAGGAAATGGGCTTGGGAAAGATGTGCTAAGATTCCCAAGCTGCTGTTTCAAGTTTCATTGACAAAAAAAGGTCCAGAATTGGACATTTAGGAACAAGTATGTTGTGGTTCAATTTTGGACAAATGTGTTCCCTTGTAACCCATTCACCTTGGAGCATATGGAAAACATTGCTCTAATGTTAAATCTCATAAAACAAACCAGATCGGTCACTTACAATAGGACCACATATTTTGCTCACAAATTTAAACTCATGATCAGCCACTGCATGTCTATACATCCATTGGGAAAAATAAATCATTTCCTTTGGCCCATGAGTATGATGGGAATGAGTTCTACTTCATCAAAATACGTGCACGATATGATAGTTTTACACAACTTGACCATAGTCTTACATGAGTTGACCACATACTAAATGAGTTGAACACAGCCTTGTATGAGTTAAACACAGCCTACATGAGTTGAACACAGCCTTACATGAGTAAGACACTAGCACTAAGCAAAAAAGCCACAAGACCGCCGTGCTTAGCATTATGCTAAAGTCAGATGCATCACTCAGCTTGGGAAGTAGACAGTGAGTGATAATTTAGTATAAGATGAGATATGATGATTGGGAATGATCTAATAGCATGGAATGGACACAATGCGGCTTTTGACCAAAAGGATATGGGGAAAAGCATGAAAAAATCACTGAATAACATATGTTAAATTGGAGGTGCCAGATCCATGGATCTTGAGATGGAATTGGGATCTTCCTGATAGAAGGGAGAAGTGTGAGTAATGAGGAAAAAGAGTGTCAACAGACAACTATCAATAATGTGTTTCATTTCCAACTTGAGGAGACTTGAAATTATCTGGATGAAATTGATTGCTCACCGTGCCGATTAAATGATGGCCAACAGGTGCCACTCAGGATTCAATCTTTGGTTGATTGTTGGTGGTGGTAGACTTGTGTGGAATCTTGGTGAGGTTTTCGATACTACGAATACGAATAGGGTCTGTGGACTGATGTGTCAGTTCAGGAAAGATTGATACAGATGGGATATGGAAACCTTACCTCTTCCATACTTCATCCTCTGCATATTCCAAATACCGAGGACATTGGGCACGAGTTCTGGCAAGATGTGTAACTCCTGGGTACGTTTTGATATAGCTGCCTGGATTTCTTGGACTCGAGCAGCATTTTGCACATTGATAACAGCTCGTTGATGTGGGGTGTCTTTGACTTGGGGAGGTTCTATCTCCATCATGATGGTTTCAATTGAAATGTAGGTTTCCTTCAAATAGTTAATGACTTCTTGAGAAGGGTAGAGGTAAAAAATTTGGGTCATCTTGGTGATTCAAGTATAATGAGTTATGGAAGTACTTTGTCTGGGGAGTAGTAACGTGATTGAAAATGCAGCAAGGAGGTCATGTCTTTTATGCTAAATAGGGGGTATCAAATATAGGAAATCCACCATTGGAAACCAGTCACTTTTCCCAAAAAAAAATTTGCATCAATGTAACCCAAAAGAGGTTAAATGGATAACCAACATGTTTCAAAAAGGGTGGATTTTTTCAAACCAGTCACTTAAGTAATGGTGGATTTGGTTATATTTGATACCCCTTAATATCAGTGCCAGGAGAAATAGACCCATGCATAATTAGCTCACTCATATCACATTGTGAGGGGCAAAGCATGAGTTGCAAGTAATGAAAATTATGGAAATATTGGTTGGAATCACAGGGGCCTGGCAAAATGCATGTAAGTTGCAGTTTGGTTGAGAGTTGACCCGAAACACAATTGAAATGTCAACCCTGGAATATTTTAAAAACACCCCAATTTATCTGAATGACAGTGGTGAAGGTCCACAAATTTTGAGACACAAGGTGTGGCACATCTGACACGGATGTGTCCAAGGATGAAATTTGCTGTGCCAGACAAGATCTCTAATTGTGCATGAGGATAATGTTAAATGTGAACAGGGCAATTATTATTTGGAGTGGATGTCATTGATGACACATAAAGACCTCCCCTATGGCCACAGTGGTGACTCACCATTATATTTAATCATTGGTGGTGGAGTGCATGGATTATGATGCTGAAAGAAATGTGAAAGCATTGGAGATAAACACCTTTTGCTAGGAATTCTATTCAATTGAGGTAGGTGCATGATGTCCATTGAGACTATCAGGATATTGAGTGGAATCTCATAATGGTCACATTCATCCTTATTTGTATGTGTGATGTTGTGCGGTGGAGCAGATCTTGGGCCTTGTTTGATCCTTGGCAGCGGAATGGTTGTGCTACTGTGGATGGAATTGGTATGCTTAAGGTCATGGGGTTTGAAGGGGATCACAAGCATACCAATGAGGTCTGGTGTATGTGTTGTACAATGTGAGTCATTCTTGTGGTGACCAAAGAAAGGAGAGATGTATCTGCAAGCTATCCCCGCTGTATCCTCATCATAGGATAAGGATAGAGCAAGGATGCATTGAGGATACGGGCCTACTCGGCTCTGCACATCTTACATTCAATGTGGCACCTTCTATTGCAGGCACCCAGATATGCCTTTTTTCCATCTAATCCACGATTCTAACTGTTGAGTCACTCTCAATTCATAGTCAGGTGATTAAAATTGATCACATGTAAAATAATTGAGTGTATCAATCTGCTTGCGCACTACTTCCTCCTCTTAATTCCAAAGTGGTACACTTCACCTGCCAAGCAACTCACTTGCTAAAATGCAATCCTTCCCAAAATTTCAATTGAGTTTAAGGGTAAGCTATACACCACCGCAAAAAAACCTTGGCTTGTTTGTCAGGGAAGACACTTTTACATAGCCGATGTCAGTTACATCTCACATTTGAGTTGCAGGATAAGTATGTACCCTCACCAACCTTTCCCGAACTCCCCCCTTTCCTCTGAAAATCACCCAACCCCAAGTCTAATACATCCTGCAGACACTAAGACCTACCTGCCCATCAGCCTTAACTCGCAACCCTATAACTTCAACCATGAATTGTTCTCCTAAAAGTCAATTTGAAAATTAAACCCAGAAAGAATATCAAATTGAAGCGCACTACGAATGGCTCTATGAGATAGAATTAAAAATTATAGAGATTGTTAATCAGTGGGAGCCCTTAGTATATGAAGATGAGAATGAATACTCGACCATTTCCTCCGACAGCAAATTCTTCTGCCCCATGACCGAAGCTATCCAGTGGTACAAAGCCAAGGAATTGCAATTTAAATGGAACGAACAGGCCTCTGCCAAAGGAATCCCATTATCTTTAGTACCCAACCTCAGAGAAATGTGGGCGGCGAGAAGAAAGGAACTCAACCGAGGTGAAGTCTATTCATGTAACAGGAACTGATTGGGAAACTAATGCTTGATTATTTTCAGACCCAGTCACCAGGCCCTGGAACGAATCTCCTCCCCGTTCCTCCAGCCCTGAACAAAGCACACCTTCTAAACCCAAGGATAGTGATAGTAGCTCCGGTGGATCCAACTCCAAGGGAAAGTCCGCCTCCATGGTAAGCTCCTTTTCCATAATTTGTATGTTGACATGGAATTGAAGTGGTCTGACTGATCGCTATGATGAAAATAGGTTCAAATCCGCATTGACTAGTGCCTGACTGTGTTGTTTACATGGATCATCAATCCAGCTACTCCTCACATGTACCCACGTTTTTACACCCATTGATGCATGCCCCTCTACCTGAACGTTGGAAAGATAATGATGAATACTATCCCGTTGTCCTCCCACTCGTCTTGCTTAAATTGAGTCACCCTTTAAGACCGGCAGGTCTTAAGGATACCAGCAGAGGTGTCAATATCC